CATTTTTTATACCGAACTAATACAAAAATTTTTAGCTCGTTATATCTTTTAAAGAGAAGTTATCGCTATTTCTTTAGTTCTTGATAATCGGTTAGAGAATTAACTTATACATATTAAAACTTAGCTTTTAACATTTTTTCTGTCATTTTTTATACAGGACTAATACAAAAATTTTTAGCTCGTTATATCTTTTAAAGAAAGGTTATCGCTATTTCTTTAGTTCTTAATAATCTACAATTCATGTTTTATATATACATACACGTATGTAACACTTGAACATGATTGGCTAAAAAATGATCTATGGCACATGACCAGTCACTTTTTTTTCGCCATGGCTAGGGTTTTACTTCGAACCTTCAGTCCAGATGCAGTGATATAATTTCTGGAGAGTTAGGTAATTTACCAAACAACTAAAAAGATTTCAGATAATAAGCAGGTGTTCCAGAAATTATAATAATAGCTGTAAATGCTTGGTCCAATCAAACTTTGAACTTCAACTCGCATCTGCACATGCATCTAGTATATTTAAAAAATGTGAATGCATGAAAATATATATGAATACACATTTTTTTAATACAATATCCAAATATACTAAATGCACATGCAGATGCGAGTCAAAGTTCCAAGTCTGCTTTGAACTGAGCATTTAACAAAGACTTGACTTTTGGAGTTGAGGCAAGACTAGACTGGACTTTTCACATCCTACTCTACAAAGAAACAACAAAAATAGGAGTGTAAAAATATTCATTTCTATTTGAATATATACTTTATTAAGGGTAGAGGGTATGTAGATTATTTTGTCATATGTTTTTGGTAGTACAATAAGAAATTGATAATGTGCTACTAATAAAATTTTTTATTGTTGTAATTAATTTTGGCCAAAATTTTACAAAATATAAATAAAATAATTTATCTATTATAGTAAAATTTTGAACTATTATATCATTTTAAAAAATATACTCATATATATCACGAAGTTTTCTAGGTTGGCTCAAAATTTTCTGGGTTATGCAGATTGCTAAATTTGATTGGCTAATCTATATATTAATTTTATTAATAATTTTTATAACTAATCCTTAAAAATTTATATCTCGTTAAGTTTTTAACCAATTTTAATGATTTTACTGCTATTAAAATCAGAAAACCTGCTCTACAAACTTTTCTTAAGAATTAAAATTAGTTTACATAATACAATTTTTTATAAATTTATATATTAAAAAAAATTACCACTAAGTTTATATATAATTTTAAAATAGTACCCTTTACTCTTAAAATTACATGATTTTTGTTAGATACTAACACTAAATCCTTGGATATTGGTTATCAAGAAATTCATGATTTATTTTTTTCATTCACTAAAATAAAATTTCTCATTTAAACAAAAAACCTAAAATTATAACATCATTCATAAAAACTAATTACAATCAACAAGCAGTAGTGCTATTATTTTTGGAGACACTTGAAAAACAAGAAGGTTATTGATTAATAATCACATGAAATCATGCTATTACATCATTTGTTTATTAACACTAAATAAATTAGCCTAAACTAACATATCACCTAACTCTAATGTACTTAATAATATGATGTGATTATCATGAAAATATCTCTGGGTTTCTTGATCTTCAATCTTCCCTATTTTTGGAATCCAAATTTATATCTATACCATACTTTTAATTACAGTTTACCCTCATTAATATCTACCCCATTAATATCAACCTAAACCATAAGATGACTTTTACAAATTTTTATATATTAAAATCCCTCATATATATCAACTTTTAATATAATCTCTTGTTAATATCACTATCAACATGAATTTAAACCAATTTAAATGGGTTGATATAAACAAGTGCAAATGGTATTTCTTTTTTATTTTAGGATTAAGTTTAGGGAGCTACTATTTCCACCATGGTATATTGCTATTTTCACCATGATTACACAAGATTTTATATTTTTAAATTATAATATAAAAATACTCATAACCATTAGTTAACAGGAGTGGCGCAGAGGCATTAGCTATAGCAAGCGACTACTAAGTGAGCAAAGTGAGCTTAGTTGGTATTGCTGAGCATAAGCGAAGCAATACAAGTTATATTGTCTTTAATAAAGTTGTTTTTAAAGAGTGTTTAGTTACGCGTTGCTGATAAAAATAATTAAAAGCTATTAAAGTTGTTTATAAAGAATATTTAATTATAAATAACTATCAAATATTAATTATAGTTAAAATAATATAAAAAAAAATAAATATATTATTAAGTTTGTCATTTAATAACGTTAAAGCCCGGTGCATCGCACCGGGTTAAAGACTAGTAATAATTACACACTTTATATAGAAAAAGTAAACATTTCAATTTCCTAATAAGCTTATAATCTACATACGGACCAAAAATTTTATAAAAAAAAAAGCTTGCTTTAATAGCATATTACGTTAGTTTCTAGTATGCGCGACAATGACGCAGTTGTGTCTAAAAAAATTCCTATTTTTACTATCTCTACATTTATTATCGTTATGATAGTAACTACATTTAGATATGATACATTAATATATCAAGAACATAACCACGTTTAACTAATCAGTGATATATTATATTGCACATTAGTAAATACCTACTGTGTCTACTATTATAGAAAGTAGAATTTTTAGTCTGATCTGTGCCAGGTTTATCAATCAATCGACCTAGATTGGTTGGCATTGGTCTTCGTTAAACTAGATTTGAAGTTAGAATTAAGTTGGGGTTATATTAGAGTCAGATGAGGATTTTAAGTTGAACCAAAATTATGAGGAAAATTTTTTTTGTTAGGACACGAAGAACTGTTTCATAGGCAAAATTTTAGGATAGAAAATTTTTTCGTCACAAAATACTTGAATACGTGATCACAACCCGAATATTCGTTATCCGTGGATAACCCGAGCAATTACCCGATCCGAGTACAATATTTATCTTGTGAAAAAGTACAACATATCCATATATCAGATTAGCAAAAACAGATCCGTTAAAATTATAAATCTTCAGCAATAATCCTGCCACAAATCTTGATTAACCTAAACCCAGAAAGGAATTAGCCAATCGGAGAACGTAAATTATGTTTATTCCAGATCAGCTCGACATGTGCACAAAGAGATTGTCTTGGTGTACTAATTAATTAAATATGATGAAAATGAAATTTACATATGGGTGCCGCCAAGCGAAAACCAATAAGTCTAAAAATCGAATCCTTTATAAAAAGAACGCGGACTTTTAACCGTCTAAGAAATCTATTTTAGATTTCCGGCAACAACCATATAGTAAACGATGATTTATTTTTTCTGGCCTTAAACACTAACGTTATAATCCTAATTTCTAATTTCATGCATGTACTATACTAAATTTATTTTGTGCCAAATTCTTTTTTTTTTTTTTTTGAGTTTGTACCACTTGTATAAATAATGATAAGTATTTCCGTGAGCGACTAATGAATAATGTGGAACTTGAGGATTTCGCGTGTTCATTTTACATTGAACGTCATAAATATCATAATAAATACAAAAAGTAAATTTGTGCAAGTGATGCAAAACCAAAAAAGAGACAAGGAAGTCATAAATTTTATCTTTAACTAGTGCTACGTACATATAGGCAAATTTAAACATACATAATTGATAGAGATAAATTTCCGATTGTATCACTCAAATAAATTTAACATTTCCGAACAAATAAAGACATGAGTTTTAGCAATAAAGAATTTATATTAAATATGTGCAAGAGATAAATAAATAAATACTTACAAATTTCGGAGCTATAACTAAAAAATTGTTTCCAGATCATAAGGTTCCTTTTTTTTTACAATAGAAATTCCAAGTTATTATTTCGGAGTTTATTTCATCCAATCTAGATTCAGCCATAATTGTAAAAAATAGTAATTTTTTATAAGGATAGTGAAATCGATCGAGGTCAGACGTATAGCCAATTGTGTCAAAATTCGACATTACACTTTTTTTAATATTAATAATTATTTCATAATTTTATATACTGTATCATTAAATACGTGACTTGTCGCCTATTTATTTAGTTACACTTATCCTTATACGGTTATCGTTCTTTATTTTAGCTTAGTCTTTTTGTATTGCCATCAGGAAAAAACTTAAATGATTATTATGAACTTTTTATCAGCATATACAAACATTATACTATTTTATAGTGAAAGACACGTTGTTTAGATCATATTTGATATGGAATTGGTGCAAGTGTTTGTTTACGTGCAGGCACAATATTAGTTGTGTTTGCGGTTAAACCCGTAGTTTGAGACATTAATTTAAATTTATTTCAACCCTTTAATTAAACAATTACTACTTAATACATCGATTAACTCATTGCATTTGCTCAGAACTGTCAATTCAAACTATAAGCTTATACAGTACTGTAGAACGAATTTACCCTGCATTATTAACGGCTTTGTTTATGATTGTATTATCCACTGTTCTTACATTACTTTTGGTTTTATTATTTTAATGATTTTGGCATAAACTAGCACACGAAATTATTTTCGGAAATTTCTTGTGTAAATAATCCCGAATTTCTTATTAAACAAATTTCGTTTGTCGCAATATCTGAAAAAATTTACAACCTTTAATAATTATAACTTCATCAAAAGAAAAACTGATTACACAATACCCGAAATTTACGCATTTGTAATTCAATTATTTAGCCCACAGTAGTCTTGTATAAAGGAATTCGTTCATATGCAATATACAAATAGTTTCAAAAAAAAAAAAGGATAGTTGATAAAAATAGTTGACAAAGTTATATACAATAAATATTTACTTAAATTGTGAGTATTTGCGCGCTACTTTTTAAAAATTAAATTTTCTACTTTCTTACACTTTTTTTTCAATATTCTTACAATCTTTTATAATTTGATGTAATATAAATAATAATATCGCTATGGGGTGTTTTTCCTCTAAATGTACCTTTAAATGTACCTTTAAATATATCTCTAAACGTACTGAAAGAATCAAATCTATGGATTCCCAAAGTACTCAAAATACACAAACTGAATTTCGATACGTTGATGGTAGAAGATTTCATAACGAGGAAAATGCTATATATCAGATGCCAAATGATGAACATGAAACAGATAGATTACATTTACAACATTTTTTATTAAGATATCTCTGGCAAAGCAACATTTCTGCTCCTGTCGATCATATTTTGTCTAAACAAGGTGCTAAAGTCCTCGATGTCGGGTAATTATTCTATTCTATTTTAAGTAATTATTCTTGATAGAAGAAAACTACTGAAATTTTTTAATTATAAATCTATAATATTCTATAAAATAAAATCAACAATTATACATTTATTTTCATAAAACAAAAATATTCATTGTAATTCATGTGTTATAATTTTTAAAAATCTAGTTTAAATTTTATCGTTATTAATTGATAATTTTGTAATAGGTCCTTTCTATAATAAATTATTATAAATATTACACTAAAATCTTGTGTATATCTATTTTAGATGTGGTGCAGCTTCATGGTCTTTTGATATGGCAACTACGTACGTACATCATGTCTAAAGCATATCCAAGAATAATTATGAATTTTTATCTTTGTCCTTAATCTTTGAATTATTAATGTTTTCTTAGGTATCAATCAGCTGAAATTACTGGATTTGATATATCTCCATATCAACCAACTACGATAAAACCTCAAAATTTTGAATTCGTTAAAGGAAATGTTGAGGAAAGATTACCATTTGATGATAATACTTTTGATTTTGTATTTCAGCGATTTTTAGTATGGGGTATTCACAAAGAGAAATGGCCACACGTGGTAAATGAGTTGGTCAGAGTTTTAAAACCAGGTGGATTTTTAGAGGTATGTTATTTGAAATTTGTTATAAATAATAATTGTTAATTATTTTAAATAATTTTTGTTTTTTAATCATTCTGTTTTTTTAAAAAAAAAGTTATGTGAACCTTCTAATATATTTGACAGAGGACCAGTTACTAAACGTTTATGGGATTGTGGTCTGTATCTTACTATTATAATAACTTTATTCTTTTTTTTTTTTACTTACATAATATTTTATTCAATTATCATGAAGAAATCGAAATATTAGAAGAAAAAGGCAGTGATTTTGATTCGTATCTAAAGATAGAAGAATATGCACGAAATCAAGGTTCCACTTTGTAGAGTTATATTACGTATAATTTACAGTATCAAAATATTTTATTAATAATTACGTATATATTTTTCATATTAGGTCAATTAGAAAATATTAAAAAAGAAGCTAAACGATGCCATTACGGAACAGTTTATAACAGTGTCGAGTTTAGTAAAGCGGTAATGTATTGTACAAAATAAATCATCTGAAAATATATATCATATATAAATGAATCATTTTAAAAAATTAAACCCATTTTATATTAAATTAATAGATTCTCAGTAATATGTCTTATGCGTATGCTTCTCTTAAACCTGTTTTAACAAAACAATTGCAAATTTCTGATGAAGAATACGATAGGTTGACTAAAATATCCGAAAAAGAATCAGTGGAGTTTAATTCTTATTTTAATATAGTTCGTGTTTATGGAAGTAAAATTATTACTAAATAATAATGGATTATGATTAATATGAATAATTTTAAGATAATGCTAAAAAATATTAAACATATTTAATATATGATTTAAATTACTTTATTTATTTATTTACTTTTTTGAAGCTTGATTAGGATTTAGTTGAAGTTTGTAACAAAAAAATATTGTTATCTGTATCTTATTTATTTAAATTATTTTAAAATTTATTTAAACATTGATATCTTTATTTTCATTAATATTTAAATCAATTTAAATCATTCAACATTTAGATTATTTTATAGTCTATTAATATTTATATACTATATATATGAATCATTTTAAAAAATTAAAGTACAGTACACCCTCTCAAATCCGGTATGCATGATGAACGGCTTTTGTATCGGTTTTGAGATTTACAATAATGGACCGCCGGTCACATGATCGTAAATAAATATAATTGGTTGGATTATATTATTATGTACCAATCATGCCGAAATCAATAACTTAACCGGATCAGTCGAAAAATCATTTGGTAAATTTTATCAGGTGTTCCAAAAATTATAAAAATAGCTGTAAGGCACTGATAATTACGTACCGGGCAGTTGATATTTTCATTACTAAATTAGGGTAGCTGCGCAGCGTGTGACGCGGCGCAGGACCAGTACGATCACGTACGCTGTTGTGAAAAGCTCAAGGAAATCAATTTACCTATTCTCTTTTTTTT